TCTGAAGGCCCCGGGTCGCCCGAAACCGGGTGAAAACCTAACGAAAATGAGCTGTGCACCCCCATTTGTGGCAGAGGCCGCGGCCCCGGGGGCCCGGGCCCTGGGGGGGCCCGGGCCCCGGTGCGCCGTGACACGTACACGTCATCTACACCGTGTCGAAGCCTTCCCGCCCGCCCAGGGAGGCCCCGCCAGAGCGAGCGGGGTGGGCACTCGCACACCCTACTATTCACACGGTTTCGTGCCCCCCCCCCCCGCCCGTCCAGGGAGGCCCCGCCGGAGCGAGCAGGTTATTCGCACACAATATGATTTACATGTTTTCGTGCCCTTCCAGTTCCTCCAAGGAGGCGAGCAGAGTATTGTCACTCTATACTATTGGCACGGTGTCGTGCCCCTTCCCACCCTTCCACGGAGTCCCCGCCACGGCGAGCAAGGTATTCGCACACTGTACTATTCAGAATGGTTTCGTGCCCCTCCCACCCCTCCAGGGCGGCCGGCCAGGGCAAGCAGGGTATTCGCACACCATCCTATTTACAATGTGTCGTGCCCCTCCCACCCCTCCAGGGAGGCCCCGCCAGAGCGAGCGGCGTGTTCGCACACCGTACTACTTCCACTGTTACGTGCCCCTCCCACCCCTCTGGGGAGGGCAGAAGGCGCGGCTGCTGCGCAAGAGCGGCAGTCGCCATACGACTCGGCCGAAAAGAGGTGAAACTATAGGCCACCATGGGGCTGGACACCCCCGCCGCGGAAGCAGCCACCGTAGGGCTCCCCATCAAGGGGAAAGGTATCCCTCGGTCTTTCCCTTGCCACTCTTCCCTGCTCCCTGTTCCTCCGCGCCCCTCCCCATTTCTTTTCCTTCTGGTGGGCTGTAATTCGCTATACATATATATATATAGGCATATAATATACGATAAAAAAGCAGATATAATTTATGTATATAGTACAGTATATAGTGTATATATACATATATTAAACATGTCTAACCTGATGCTAGTTCGCTGGGAGTTGTACCAGCACGAGCTCGACCTTTGCCAGTTTACGCGGCGTGTCTCAAGGAGGCCTGATCCTCGACAGGTGTTTTTGGATTTCTCGCGACTGCAGCCAGCTAGGGTTCCCTCCACGCTGAGCTCGTTCGGAACGCGTCCCGCACGAACCTTGGGGGGAGGGAAGCAAAGGACCTTCATATATTTCAAGTGCGCACGCTCCGCACGCCCACCTTCCAACCGTGGGGGGGAGAGCGAAAGCTCTGCGCTTTGGACTGGGTTGGCACGGATAGGCACCAAAAAATCCTCCCAACTCCATGATCCGAAAGAATCCTCCCAACTCCATGATCCGGGCACCACGCGCCTGAATGGCACTTCAGGGGAGGCACCATCCCACCAAATTGGCATCACACGGTACCCCTTTCTTCTGAATGAGTTCGTCGCCTTGAATGCCTCCTCCTCCGTGCCCTACGTATCCTGCCCGTAAAACAAGATTGCACTAGAGAAGACGCCAATCAGTAGGTTTCTAATTGTTTCGCTGGTACCTCGATCGGCATTCCTCCCGCCATAGCCTAGTTCGAGTGTGCGTTGTAGTACAATCTAGTTATTCTATGCTCCTATGTCTCTCTCTCTCTGTGTCTCTCTGTTTATCTCTCCCTCTCTGTATACATGGAAACGCTTTTCTTTCTCTCTCTCTCAATACTTTGTCTTCTGTGTGCATACATGTAAACGCACATACGCGCCCTTTCTCTTTCTGTCTCGCTCTCTCTCTCTCTCTCGCTCTCTCTCTCTCTGTACTCCGTCTCTCTCATCCTGTCCTCTTTATCATGATGTTTTGGCTCTCTCTCTCTCTCTCGCTCTCTCTCCCTGTCGATATATCGGAGGTTGGGGGGTGAGATCGCAGTGAAACGAAGGGCCCCCCGCAGGCAATCGGTTTCGGTTTCGTGGTCGTGTCGTGCGTGCGGGCGAGGTGAAGCTGCGTTGGCGGGCGAAAGGACTGAACCCGCTGATGCCAGGGCGAAGACGAACCACGAGTTGCTCGTCCCTGGGTTGGCTGGCAATGGCCCCGTGGTGGTGTTCCGATGGTGTCCTGATGGTGTCCCGATGGTGTCCTTATGGTGTCCTGAATGTGTCGCGTGGTGTCCCATGGTGTCCCGCGGTTCCCCCGTGGCGCGGGGGTGTACGGGGCTATGCTCCTTCCCATGCTATGTTATGCTGGCGGTCGTGACCTCAATGGTTAGATCCATGGTGAGATCGGTAGTGAGATCCAATGAATGAGCTCGAAAGTGAGATGGATCGTGAGATCCATAGTAATATCGATAGTGGGATTGGTAGTGAGGTCGATTGAGGGATGTCGATAGTGAAGTCGATGGTGATATAGATAGCGATATCTATAGTGAGATCAAGTGTGAGATCGATGGTGCGATCGATTGTAAGATCGATTGAGTGAGATCGATCGTGAGAAAAGTCGTGATATCGTTTGTGGGATCGATGGTGAGATGGATTGAGTGACATGGGTGGTGAGATCGATGGTGGGATCGACAGTGAGATGGATGGGGATCTCAATCGTGATATCGATAGTGATACCGATTGAGTGAATGAGATCGATAGTGAGATTGATCGTGGCATCGATAATGATATCGACAGTGAGACCGATCGTGAAATCAAGTGTGAGGTTGGTAGTTACATTAGTGAAATCGATCGTGAGATCTATAGTGGCACCAATCGTGACATCGACAGTGACATCGATAAGGAGACCGATAGTAAACTCGATCGTGAGATCGATCGTGTAATCGATGGTGAGATCGAGAGTGCGATCGATCGTGACAGCAATAATGTGATCGATAGTGGGATCGACAACGAGATCGATAGTCATATCAACAATATAATGAGATCAAATGAATGAAATGGATGGTGAGACCGATAATGAGATCGATAATAACATCGATCCGCACCCCGGGAACTCGGAACCAAGACATTGGAACCCCGGAAGCCCCGCCACCCACTGAAATCGGTCCAAAACCAACAACCGGGACCCTGGAACCCGGACACGGGAACCCGTGAACCCGGCCGCTTACCGAAATCAGCCAGCACCTTTCGCCAGATCTTTCGATTTCCGCCAAGACCCGTTGAGTGAAAGCACTGATTGGGGAATGTTAGTGAGGCTTGAGCCAGTAATCGTGTCCAACTCCATCTCAATCCCCTGCTCCACCTCCTCCTTTCTCCTCATCGTCGTCGTCGTCCTCCTCCTCATGATCATCATTCCCCCCCTTCTCAATCCTCCTTCTATTACTTCTCCACTTCTCCGCCTCCTCCGCCTCTGCCTTCTCCTCCTCCTTGCTGGCCGAGCGGAGTGGGAGAACAAGGGAAAGGGAGGGAGGGGAGGGAGGGGGGATGGGGGATGGGAGGGGATGCTGCGGGAGAGGGGGGCCGAGAGGGGAGAGCGGAGGAAGGAGGAACAACGAGCGGGGAGAAGACTGGAGCGTAGAGGGGAGGCGATCCTGGCAAGGCCGACGTGGGAGAAGAAGTGTGTGTGTGTGTGTGTGTGTGTTTGTGTGTGTGTGTGTGTGTGTGTGTGTGTGTGTGTGTGTGTGTGTGTGTGTGTGTGTGTGTGTGTGTGTGTGTGTGTGTGTGTGTGTGTGTGTGTGTGTGTGTGTGCGTTGTGTGTGTGTGAGTGTGTGTTGGGGGGGGAGGGGGAGGTGCGCTCGGTCCATACGACTAGTCTCTGACATTCTGCCCCTTCCACCCATTCCCCCCCTTTCGCTCGTGAGGGGGGGGGGGAGCCCGAGCGCAGAACTCGGCTGCACGCAAGAGTGACACTGGGTAGGAGGGACTTTGGGTGCGCGGCTTTTTTTTGGGGGGGGGGAGGGCCAACCCCACACGCGCAAAACGCTACTGTCGCATCGCGCTCGGCGATCGGGGGACCCCAATGGGCCCGTACCAAAAGGTCACTACCGCGAAGGGTCACTCTTACGTGTGTAATGTCTACTCGAAGAACAGCAACGCCTCCGTCTCTTGTGCCAGTGTGGCGCGCTAGTGTGTGTGTGTGTGTGTGTTGTGTGTTGTGTTGTGTTGTGTTGTGTCATGTCGTGTCGTGTCGTGTTGTGTGGTGTGGTGTGGTGTAGTGTGGTGTGGTGTGGTGTTGCGTTGTGTTGTGTTGCGTTGCGTTGTGTGTGGTGTGGAGTGAGGTGCGCTCGGTCCATACGACTAGTCTCTGACATTCTGCCCCTCCCACCCATCCCCCCCTTTCGCTCGTGAGGGGGGGGGAGCCGAGCGCAGAACATCGGCTGCAAGCAAGAGTGACCCTGTGAGGAGGCGGAGGAAAGGAGGAGGAGGAGGAGGAGGAGGAGGAGGAGGAGGAGGAAAGGGAGAGGAGAGGAGGGAGGAGGGGAAAGGAAGGGAGGAAGAGAGGGGAAAGGGAGGGAGAACAGAGGAAGAGGTAGGGAGGATGAGGAGGAGAGGAGGAGGAGGAGAGGAGTGGAGGAGGAGGAGGCAGAACTTCGGCTGCGAGCGCTGCACTTGTGCCGCCCTCTTCTGGCCAGCCGCCCTCGCACAGGGCGGCGACGCGCTCCCGTGCCAGCCGCGCGCCCGCCGCGGCGCGGCGGGCCAGCCGCTCGCGCTCCGCCCCGCGGGCCCTCGCGGCCCACGCCGCCACGGCGGCGGCGCAGCGCTCCTCGAGCGCCAGCCGCTCGAGGCGCCGCTGCTCCAGCGAGGCGCCCACCTCCGCGGGCTCGAGAGGTGGGGCCCTGAAGGACTGGTGGGGCCCTCAGCTCGTGCCCGGCCGGCAGGGGCGCCGTCTCGGCTGGAGAGTGCCCTGGAGTCGGTCCTGACAATGGGCGGCGAGGCGCTGGACCCCAACCCCAAGGCCCCTGGGGTCGCCTCCTCCTCCTCCTCCTCCTCCTCCTCCTCCTCCTCCTCCTCCTCCTCCTCCTCCTCCCCCGCCTCCTCCTCCTCGTCCTCGTCCTCGTCCTCCTCCTCCTCCTCCTCCTCCTCCTCCTCCTTCTCCGCCCCCCCGAGCGACGGGGGTTGGGGGGCCCCTCGGGTGCCCCCGGGCCGCAGGGAGAAAGCAAGGAGGGCCCAGACCCACTCGAGTCGCCGCGAAAAGCACGGCGGGGGGTGTCCGGCCGCCTTCGGCCTCCGGGGGGCCCTTGGCCTGGCCCTGGGACCGCAACCAGACCGACTCGGGGAAGGGAGCGAGACCTCTGGGGGTCCCCGCCGTGGAAAAGCCACGGCCTCGGGTGTCTGGGGGTCGAGGGGCCTCGAGCAGCAGGAATCCAACCACAAGACCAGGGGAGGAGGAGAATGAGGAGGAGAGGGGGGGCAGGAGGAGGAGGAGGAGGAGTAGGAGGAGCAGGAGGAGGAGGAGATTGGCTCCGAGGGCCCCATCCCTCGGCCAGTTTTCGAAGCGCCGACGCCGCCGCGCCGAGGACGGCCAGGTGGCCGTCGATCTCCGAGACGACGGCCTCCAAGTCGGCCCTGGCCGCGGCCGCCGCCGCCCGTACCTCTTGCGCGGCGGCGCCGGCCTCCTCGCGCAGCCGCGCCTCGTGGAGCGCCAGGCTCTCCTCCGCCTCCCGCCTGGGGTGCAGTCGGGCATGTCCCTCTGCAGGAAGAGAATTCAAGAATGGCTAAAACAACGTCTGGTGACGATTCTCGTACCCTTGTGACTATCATTGGCTATTTTTTTGTATATGTTTCATTCTCTTCCAAAATACGCCTGTTGGAGGACGCGACCGACCTAAGCCTAGGGTAAGAGCCGAACAGAGGCACGATCACGAGCTTTTGGAGCTCGGCGCGAGGTTCTTCTGGGCCTTCGCTGGACAAGTCTGAGACGAAGCCAGGGCCGGGGCAACATCGGACAGGGACAAACATCGGGGATCTCCGAGATCTCGCGGTTCTGGAGGATGTGTCTGGCGCCGCGGCCTTCTCAGAGCGTCCCAAGACATTCTGAGAACGTCCCAGAACGCTCTGGAACGCTTGAACTCCCTGCCCTCGCCACGCCCGAAACTTCCGCGGCGCCGCCAAGGGGTTCTGGCCCCGACCCAAGAGATCTATGAGCAAGAAACGGCGACACCACCACCACCACAAGCGCGGGGAGCACGAGCATGGTAGCATGGTCCTCCTGGTGGTGTGCCCCCCCCACCCCACCCCACCCCACCCACCCCACCCCACCCTCTCCCTCGAGCTGTCCTCCATATCCCCAGCTCGGGGAGGCATCGTGTACCCCCTCGCTCGGGGGTGGCACCCCTGGTGGTGGTGGTGGTGGTGGTGGTGGTGGTGGTGGCAGTGGTAGTGGTGGTGGTGGTGGTGGTGGTGGTGGTGGTGGTGGTGGTGGTGTGGTGGTGGTGGTGGTGGTGGTGGTGGTGCTGCTGCTGCTGCTGGTGTCGCCTCTCCTTCCTCCGACCCGCGGCGCACGGAACGCACGAGGGGCGGCGCCGCGGGGGCCTCTGGCGTTTGACCCGAGAGATCCAAGCGCACACCTCCTCCTCCTCCCCCTCCCCCTCCTCCTCCACCTCCTCCTCCTCCTCCTCCTTCTCCTCCTCCTCATCCTCCTCCTCTTCCTCCTGCTCCTGCTCCTCCTCCTCCTCCTCCTCCTCCTTGTCCTTCTCCTACTCCTCCTGCTCCTCCTCCTCCTCCTCCTCCTCCTCCTCTGCTCCTCCTCCCCTACTCCTCCTCCTCCTTCGCCTCCTCCTCCTCTCCTCCTCCTCCTCCTCCGCCTCCTTCTCCTCCGCCTCCTCCTCCTCCTCCTCCTTTCTCCTCCTCCTCCTCCTCCTCCTCCTCCTTCTCCTCCTCCTCCTCCTCCTCCTCCCCTGTGCTCGTGCCGTGCTTTCTGTCTCTCCGGCCGCCGCAGCCAGCTCTCGGTGCCCGCACGCAGCAGCGCCCTCCGCCTCTCGGCCAGCTCGCCCAGGTCCCGCTGCAGCTGCGCGGCGCGCTCCTCCACGCGGGCCCGCATGCGTTCCACGTCGGCAGCGCTGGGCGCGCCCTCGAAGCCGTCGGGCTCGGCTGCGGCGGCGGCGTCGGCGGGCGCGCCCGGGCCCGCGGGCGGCCGCTCGCGGCCGCAGGGGCCGCGCGGGCCGCCGCTGGCCGGCTGGCTGGCGCAGCGCCGAGGCGCATGCTGGTCGTCCGCGCCGGCCTGCGCGAGGAGCCGGGACAGCACCTCGGCGACGGGCAGGTCCTCGGCGGCGCCCTGCTCTGGAGGCCCCAAGTCGGCGCGGCGACGGCTGGAGAGGCCGCGCCGCGACCGCGACATCCACGATGGACGAGCGCGTTCCACCACTCGCGGAGTAGCCAGTCGCAACTAGCCTGCATTCGCCGCGGGGGACATACGATACATCTCATCGAAACAAGCATTTATTCTCTGACGTTTGCGAATCGCACTTTGCGAGTAGTGGAGCGCGCTCGGCGACGAGCGACCCCCCCGCACGCTCCGCCACCGCGTGGCTTCGGTCCGCCACCACGCGGTCCGCCGCCGACGGCTTTTGGCAGAGGTCCCCCACGATGGGGTCCGAGCAGATGGGGCCGGCGGGTCGCGCCGCATCGACGACGCATCGGTGATGCATCGTCGACGTCGACGGTGCATCGACGACGTCGGCGCGGAGAAAACGGGGCTCCACATCGAGCCGCATCGGCGATGCAGCGGCGGTGTGGCGCGACCCTCCGACCTCATCTAGTCGGACCCCAGCGGGGAGGCCGAGGTTTTGGTAGGCAGCAGTGACCTCCGGTGGTGCGCGCGGCTTGAGGGGGCCGCGGGGGGCCGAACCCAAACGCGCCAGCCAGTGCTGGAGGGACACTCCGGCACAATGTCACTCTTACCCGTGGGTCAGAAGAAGTGGGTGGAAACACGAAGTAGGAAGGAGCTGGAAGTAGATCGTGTTCCCGCCCGCCCCCTGAAGAGGAGGGAAGCGGGACAACCCCATCGACTTTTGAAGTAGGATAGTAGGATGGCGCCTAGAACAAACAATGGGATGCGGGCATCCAAAAATACCTATTGTCAACGACTGGGTAGAAGAAGACAAGGAAATGCCATGAACATAAACTGTTGGCGCTCCGCGCGGATTTCTTGGATCTGCGCTGGACCCCTCTCCCTGGCGCACGGAGCGCGCCAAGGGCGGCTCTGGAGTCGCCTGGCGCATAGCCAAGACATCCGCGCGGAACGCCAAACGTTTATGTTTATTCCCAACCATCCTGTGGTGTTGGGTCCTCGTTTTGAAGAAACGGTCCCCGCGTCTCACATCATCATCATCATCGTCATCACCCATTTCGGCACAGCCCTCACACGTTTCGTGGCCCCATAGGGAGCTCCACCGAATGTCCCAGTGGGTGTGCCCGCATGCGTCCCGCACACCCATTTCGGCACACCCCTCACACGTTTCGTGGCCCCATAAGGGGGCTCCACCGAAGGTCCCAATGGGTGTGCCCACATGCGTCCCGCACACCCATTTTGGCACACCCCTCACACGTTTCGTGGCCCCATAGGGAGCTCCACCGAAAGTCCCAGTGGGTGTGCCCGCATGAGTCCAGCACACCCATTTCGGCACACCCCTCACACGTTTCGTGGCCCCATAGGGAGCTCCACCGAATGTCCCAGTGGGTGTGCCCGCATGCGTCCCGCACACCCCATTTCGGCCCACCCCTCACACGTGTCGTGGCCCCATAGGGACCTCCACCGAATGTCCCAGTGGGTGTGCCCGCATGCGTCCCGCACACCCATGTCGGTACACCCTTCACACGTTTCGTGGCCCCATAGGGGGCTCCACCAAGGTCCCATGGGTTTGCCCGCATGCGTCCCGCACACCAATTTCGGCACACCCCTCACACGTTTCGTGGCCCCATAGGGAGCTCCACCGAAGGTTCCAGTGGGTGTGCCCGCATGCGTCCCGCACACCATTTCGGCACACCCCTCACACGTTTCGTGGCCCCATAGGGAGCTCCACCGAAGGTCTCAGTGGGTGTGCCCGCATGCGTCCCGCACATGCATTTTGCCACACCCTTCGCACGTTTCGTGGCCCCATAGGGAGCTCCACCGAAGGTCTCAGTGGGTGTGCCCGCATGCGTCCCGCACACCCATTTTGGCACACCCTTCACACGTTTCGTGGCCCCATAGGGAGCTCCACCGAAGGTCCCAGTGGGTGTGCCCGCATGCGTCCCGCACACCCATTTCGGCACATCCCTCACACGTTCCGCGGCCCCATAGGGAGCCCAACCGAAGGTCCCAGTGGGTGTGCCCGCACGCGTCCCGCGCACCCATTTCGGCACATCCCTCACACGTTTCGTGGCCCCATATATGGAGCTCCACCGAAGGTCCCCGTGGCGCAGTCCGCTTGCGTCTCCCCCACCCAGTGCACCTCTGCCGGAGGCCGTCGGAGTTCCGCGCCTCGCTCGCCCATCGTCGCTCTGCCCAGCGGCAAGAGCCTTGCCCGCTATCAGCCAGCCAGCTAGCTCTTTTTGCTGCGCGCAGCGGACGACCTGCGCGCGTCGCTGGGACCCCTCCGGGGCGACCTGCGCGCGTCGCTGGGACTCCGCGCTGCGCTGCGCCCGCAGCTTTGGACTTTTGAGTGCGCGGGCAAAGAGGGAGTAAAAGAAGGGGAGGAAGCGGGCGCGATCCTCGTGGTGGCGTCGCGGCGCGCGGGCGATGCCGTCGGGGAGCCCCGGGGAAGCTCCTTGCGGCGGCCACGCCCAGCGTCACGAGTACTCAGAGGCAGTCATTCACAAACTATTAGCATTCATGTACAATTATACCATGCATTGGCGTACTCGCATTCATGCACGTAGACTCGCTCGCACGCAGATTGATGCACAGTCAGACGCACTCGCGCTCAGATTCACCCGCGCTCAGTCTCCCTACGTACTCAGATCAATCGTTTTCGTTCGCGTCGTGTACCACGCCACTCATGTCGGCACACCCCTAGCACGGTTCGTTGCCTCATAGGGATCACCACCGAAAAAGAGAATCACAATTGCGGTACTAACACCTGCATATGGTTGGGTCCTTCGTCTTCGAGTGTAGCCGATTTGGGGCCTGTACAGTGGAGGGCCCGTCCACAAAAAAACCTTCCACAACAAACCCGGACCTGAGACCCCAGGACGCCCATTGAGATTTTTTGGCGTGGGAGCATCGCGCGTTCCATCGCAGAACCATCGAGACCGAAGAAACCCAGGGCACCCTTCGGGTCGAGCGAAAGGGGGGGATAGCAAAGGGGCGGTTTGATAATCAGCTCACGTAGCTGCGCCTCCCGGCGCCGGAGGCGGCTATGTATCGAGGAATGGGTCCCTCGGTGAGGCCGAAGCCAGCTGCATGCAGCTAATTTCGTGACCCGCCCTTTCTCGGGAGCGGCCAAGAGGGGGGTGTCCAAGAGGGGGGGTGCAAATCATGACTGGCGGCACGTGCGCGGCCCAGCGGGGGGGCCAAGTGCGCATGGAAATAAAAAGAGGCGCCATGAAAGCTGGGGAGATAGCCTATCGCATGGCCCGCGCCATGAAATCCCCCCCCCTAGTCATCGCCCCCCTCTCTTTTCCGCCCCTGACGTTCGGCCCGCTCCCCGCTCCTCCTGTGGTGGCCGGTGCAATCCGCCCCTTTCGTCCGGCCCGAACCCTGGAGGCAAGCAGGGCCTCCGCTGCAGCCGTTCTCGGGGCCTCCGCTGTAGCCGTGGGAGGAGGAATGAAGGAAAGGCAGGGAGGAGGAGGAGGAGGTGAGGAGGAGAGGAGGGATGAGGAGGAGGGAGGAGGAAAAGAGGATGATGCGAAAAGAGGAGGAGAAGGAGGGAGGAGGATGGGGAGGAGGAGAAAGGAGGAAGGGAGGAGGAGGAGGAGGAGGAGGAGGGGGGGGAGGGGGGGGGGATGGAAAAAAAAGGGAAAAAATGCCAACCCAGGGGAAGGGAACGAAAGAGGTGGGTGAAAGTGGGGGGAAGGGAAGGAGGAGGGGAGGAGGGAGGGAGGAGGAGGAGGAGGAGGAGGAGGGAGGAGGAGGAGGAAGGAGGAGGAGGAGGAGGGGGGGCCTCCGCTGTAGCCGTTCTCGGGGCCTCCGCGGCCTCAGCGGCGGGCACGCCGGCGGGGCCCTCCCGCCGGGCGCTGGCCTCGGGGCGGGCACGTCCTCCTGCAGGCGGAGTTAGGGCGAACAGCGGACATCAGGACCGCAAGATAAACATCATAGTCAAACAAATAATCGAGAAACATCGTCCCCTGAGGATTTCGAGACTCTTTTGGAATCTGCTTTTTGTAGGCGCTTGAAACCAGGCGCCGGACACAGCCAAGATCTTCTCCACAAGAAGGGGAGGGAGAGGGGGTACGACGGCCCGCGCCGATCGGCAAAACAATGAATAAGAAAACGATCACTAGAAGGACGTGCCCGACTTAACGTTTGGTCGGGCATGCCCCCCTACGAAAAAAGCAAATAGCCAATCATTACTCAAAAGGAATCAACACGCATTCAAAATTCGTCCCCAGACTACTTGTGACTATGTTTGAATATTCCTTGTGACGCACAAAACCGACCTGCAGTCGGGAAATATTCAGCGAGCCGCGGCCCGGGAGACACAAAGGGCGCGCTTCAGGAGGACGCGCAAACGGCCAGCGAAATCACGCGCAGAACGCGGAGGAGAGGCGAGAGGAAGAGGCGAGGCAAACGAAAAGAGGCGAGCATGCCGACCAGGAGCAGGGGAAGCAGGAGGCGGAGCCTGCAATTGGATCAAACACATCGGGGGGACCTCCTAGCAGAACAAGGGGCCACTTAACAGGAACGCGACTTAGAAGGACGTGCCCGTCTTCACGCTGGCCTCTGCCGGCGCCGCCGCCGCGGGCTCCCACGCGGCGGCGCGGGCGGGCGGCTCCGCGCGGGCGGCCGCGCCGCGCCGCCGCGG